TATGTCTGCACACAGGCCATGTCTGTGCTGCTGAGTCTCGCTCTGTGTCTCAGTCATGCTGCCTCACCAGATACCTCCCTCTGTGTTCCGTATAGGTCCTTAGGGCCACTGTGAAAAGTACAAGCAGATGAATTACTTATTGAGCTGGAATCTAGCTGTTGCTTTGTCTCTGCCGTTTCTTTCTTGTTTCATATCTAATCCGTCACCAGGCCTTCTCAGCCCAGCCTGTTACCACAGAATTCTGTGCTTTGTTTAATAAGATGTCCTTTTTAGACAAGTATCGTATGTATCCTCTCCTTTGTGGTTCCTAGATTGTATATACATATGTAAAATTATAAGTATGATGTAAAAGTAGAAGCAGAGCTGTCCAGTGGGACAAAGGGGACTGGCAGGATAGAGGGGGGCTAGGAAGGGGAGGGTTGAGTGTGCTCAAGATACTATATATACTTGTAAGGAAACTTAAAAAGGAAGGTCTTTTTAAAAAATTGGATGGCAGCTAAAACACAGTCCTGTTGCTGCAGAGGCCCTTGCTGCTGTGTTTCTCTGTGTGGAGATGCAGTTCTCCACACAAGCGTCAGGTGGAAAGGTCTCACCTTTTCACTTGCTCTTTGTCAGTGGGTTTTCAGAGTGCTTTGTGCTTAGTAACAGTAGTCCCCCTCTCCCCCCTTGGTTTTGTTGCTGTTTGTTTCAAACAGGGTTTCTCTGTAGCCCTGGCTGTCCTGGAATTTTCTCTCCTTAGACCAGGCTGGCTCAAACTCAGAGATCTGCCTGCCTCTGCCTTTCAAGTGCTGGGACTAAAGGCATGTGTCACCAATGCCCAGGAATCCTTTGTTCTTAACTGAGAGGATCTGAAAAAAAAAAAAAAAAAAATTCAGAGACAGGGTTTCTCTGTGTAGCCTTGGCTGTCCTGGACTTGCTTTGTAGACAGGGCTGGCCTCGAGCTCACAGAGATCTGCCTTCCTCTGGCTCCCTGAGTGCTGGGATTAAAGACCTGCTCCACAGGCGTGGATCTGGAAATGTTTAGAAGCAAGGTTGATTATAAACATTATATGTATCTTAAGTCTGATAAAGGTTAACAGTTACAGTATTAGTTGGGCTTGGAGCCTAACACCTGTGACCCTACCCCTCAGGGAGTTGAAGCAGGAGGGATCACAAGTTCAAGGCTAGCCCAGGCTATATAGCAAGACTGTCTCAGAAAACAGCAACAAAGTTGAAACAGTCATTGGCAGGGGGGAGTGTCAGACTAAACCTGTTAATATCACTTTTCAGCTAAGCTCCTTTTAAACAAATTTACAGACTTTATTATAATAAAATAAATAGAAACAGCACACAGTAATGAGAGCCAGAGTCGCTCTACAATTCAACTTCTTGGCAGTTAGAATAGTGTGGGAATGTGAGCCATGGAGCTTCACATTAAATTTCACATTTTTTGTATAGAATATGTGCACTTACCAACCTGCCCCACAAATGATAGTGTTTTAAAACTAGAGAAATAATTAGCTTTGTATTCTCTTTGTCTTACCCATTCCCTGCATTTAGTCCTTTCTTTTATCCTTATATTTAGCCTTGTTCTGTTTTCTTCATGTTATATTGTACCTATGTGTACATTTGTTTTTATATAAATATATACTATTCTAATATTAAAGTTTTTAATATTTAAAATATTTATTATTTAGTTATGAATATATATGGGGATATGTTCATAGTGGTGCCTCAGGAGGCCAGAGGCATCAGGTCCCCCTAGATAGAGTTATAAGCAATTGTGAACCAGCCAGTATGGGTGCTGAGAAGAGAACTCAGGACCTCTGGAAGAGCAGTATGTGCTCTCAACCACCCAACCTTCTCTCCAGCACCTTCACCAGCCATTTTCCTAGACAGCTTCCAGGACCAATTCCAAGGAAATGGCGGTACATCGAAAAGATCAGAAATAGACCCAGTTTGTTGAGCAGTGAAGTTACTGCATCAAAGATAACTTCTTCATATCTTAGTTTTCAGTGTTTTATTTTTAATCACTTGGTCCATGGAACGTGAAATAGCATGATAAAATCACATATGTGGTGTTTTCCTCAGTTAGCAGCTAGGTTGCTTAAAGGTTCATTAAGATCGACAAAAATGTGTGTACTTCTAAAGAGAGTGGAGCATGAGCTCTGGAGGCTCACACATACTCAGTCACAGAATTTCATCAGAAAACCAGTAATGTTTCAGGTTGAGAGTTTTTAGGTTTTGGTGTGTGTATGTGGGCATTACAGGTGCTGTCCCTTACTCCCTTTGGATTTGGATTTTTGAATTAGGGGATACTAGCTTGTTTAAGGAGAGAAAAAAAAGTGAACAAGAAGATGTTTGGGTCCAGCACGGAGTTGCATGTCTGTCACCCTAGCCCTCGGGGGGAGGGGCAGAGGCAGGGGTGTCAGGAGTCTAAGGTCTTGGGTGCATAGTGACTTTGAAACCTGTCGGGGCCGACAGGAGGAGACTAGCTCCCAGAACAAAATGTTGAGTCTCCCAGCATCTTCTGATGGCCACCAGATGGCACAGTCGTTCTCCATCCAACTAGCTGTGTTAGCTAGTTCTTGGGGACCGGAACGGAGAAATGAAAGAGTGGCCTGCACTGTCCATTCCAAAGACTAGGAATGCTCAAGGTGCTTCTGTGTAACCTGGGGGTTCTGATTCATAGATGAAAGCGAACAGTCGTCCAACGTACTTAGTTGGGTCTCTTCCTTTAGTGGTTTTGATACAGGGCCTCTTGTTACGTAGCCCGGGTTGGCCTTGAACTCAAGCTCCTCCTGTCAGTGGCTTCCTCCACTGGTGAAGGTGAATCTGATTCTTATGACACTGGATTTATGCTGTTATCAAATAAATCATTGCCAGCATCCTTCTTGTAATTTTTATGAGGAAATTAACCTTTTTTGAGATAGTATCTTGTTTATCTCTGGCCTTGTAGCTGACAGTGGCTTTGAACTCCTGATTCTTTAACCTCCTGAGTACAGGGATCATAGGTGTGTGCCACTACATCTGGTTTAAAAGTTGACTGTATGTATTCACCAGTATTGATAACGTTAAAACACAGATCACTGTATTGTGACTTAGGAGGAACCACTCACTTTGGATTGTTTTTGTAGGTAATACTCCTGAAATTATATATTTAAAAAATTTATTGTTAGCTATTAAATGACTGATACAATAACTTGTAAATGAGGAATACCATTAGTTAAAAAAAGGGAACAAGTCGTGACTGATGACTGATGAAGATGATGCAGTTTTTAATTGCTTGCTTTAATTGATTGTGTGTCTGTGTGTGTGTTATGGGATGTGTGTGAAGGCCAGAGGTCAGTGCAAGGTGACTTCCTCTATCACCTTTTTTCTTTTCTCTCTCTATATTTTACATTTATTTAGTGTGTGTATGTATGCATGCCCAAGCACGAGTGTGTGCCTACATGTGGGGAAGTCAGAGGACAATTGGCAGGAATCACCCATTTTCCTTTCCCAGCTGCAAGGCCTATCATCAGACTTGTTGGCCAGTGCCTTTCCCTGCTGAGCCAGATTGCCAGCCCTTTACCTCATTTTCTGGGATGCTCTGTTGCTGAACCTAGGGCTCACCATTTGGCTGGCCAGGCTGGCCCTTGAGGCTCCGGGATCTTTCCATTTCTTCCCAGCACTGGGATTACAGGCACGTGCAATCACCATTCAGCTTTTGCATGTTTGTTTTGTTTTGTGTTTTTACATCAGCTAAGGATCCCTCAGGTTCTCGTGTTTATAGAGCAGGTACTTTCCCTGCCGAGTCATCCCTGCAGCCCCTCCCGGGTAGCTTTAATACACCTGTTTTTCTAAAGCGTGGTTAGCACAGTTAAGAGTTTAGGAAAGTTTCTCCCCATAATCTACATGCAGATAGTCCTAGAAGTCCAGTCCTTTTAGGATGTGCTAGGCTGCAGTGCTTTTATGACATGCCACCAGGTGGGGGGACACCCTCTAGAGACAGAGAGAGGCAAGCTGTGGAGAACCCAGACTAAGAAACACTTCTCCAAATGGTGACTTAGGAGACATCTTGGTCCTTTGAGGAAATAACTTCTGCTGTGTTCTCCCTCGGGCTTTGCAGCAATAATGGAGAGTACAAGACTGAGGTTATGGGGCTATGGCACTGGACAAAGAGGTCTTATGGACAGGAGCAGCTAAAGGAAAGCAGTCGGTGCTAAATTCCCAAGGCAGAGGAAGGACTCTTCAGGAAATCATTTTGGGTAGTTGTTAAATACAACAGTTGCAGCGTCTTGTTTATATTTATGTAGTTTTATATTCATATAATGACTTTGAAATATTAATAAGTGGAATATTATACTTGTTTGAAGAAATTTGATAAGTTTGCCTGTTTTTTTTTTTGTTGTTTTTTTTTTTGTGTGTGTGTGTGTGTGTTTTAACATAGGTGTCTTTTTTTCTTTTTCTTTTTTTCTTTTTTTTTTTTTTTTGGTGTTTTTGAGACAGGAGTTTTCTGTGTAGCCTTAGCTGTCCTGGACTGGCTTTGTAGAGCAGGGTGGCCTTGAACTCACAGAGATCTGACTGGCTCTGCCTCCCTGTGTGCTGGGATTACAGGTGTGGACCACCGTGCCCAGCCACAAGGTTTCTGTGTGGGCCTGGCTGGCCTGTATTTGGTATGTAGACCTTGAACGCATGGAGATTCTCCTGCCTGTGTTTCCTGAGGGCAGGGGCTAATGGTGGCGCATGATCATGCTTGGCAAGTTGGATGAGTTCGTGTCTCTGCAGCTGTTTTAAAAACTGTCGTTGTCAGTTGAGTGCAGTGATGCACCCTGTAATTCCAGCACTCCGGGAGGCAGAGGCAGGCTCTGTGAGTTCGAGGCCAGCCTGGTCTACAAAGTGAGTCCAGGACAGCCAAGGATACACAGAGAAACCTTTCTCAAAAACAAGAAACCAAACAAATAAGAAGTGTGTAGTTGTCTATGTGGGATTTCTTCTCATTTTCCATTAACTTGGGCTTTCTGTTCTTCCTGAAACAGTGATCACATGGAGAACGTGTACGGTTATTTAATGAAGTACACCAACCTTGTCACCGGGTGGCAGTATCGGTAAGTTGACCTATACTAAGAGGTTGGGAACTTGGAGCTGGTTGTGTTATTGGCTGATGTCAGTACAGCTGGCTGGGAAACATTTAGGTAGCATCTGCCACATCGCTCCTGTACGCTGGAAGGTTTTCTCTTTAGAGATGGAGGAGCTGGCATGGGTCCAGGTGGCACGTGAATGGAGTGGTGTGTGCTCTTGCCCCATGCTGTTCCTATGTGCAGAGGTGAGGCTCTTAGTGGCGAAATGGGCTTTTGTGCTTGATTCTCAAGCTGTGGCCCTGGATGGTTGACTCAGCAGCCCACAGCCACACAGGCACTTGGTGAGTATGGAAGCCAGGTCCTTCAGCTACACTGTGGACTTGGCAGTGGCAGGGAAGGGGTATTCAGTTTTAACTTTTTAAATTGACATTAAATACATAAGATATAAAACATCTAACTCATTGTTATTAGGTATGTTCACCACTTTGTTCAGCTATCACAACTGCCTGTCTCCGGAACTTTTTTCATTTTCTTAAACTGAAAATCTATACCCTTTATAGAACAGCATGCCTCCACAGCTTCCCCCTCCCCATTTTAGCCTCTGGACTTTACTGCTCCTGCCTTGTGCCCATGGAGCATGCAGTACATGACATTTTGTGACTTTTTATTTCACTCTGCATAGTTTCAAGATTCATCTGTGTTCTAGACTTGTATCACAGCTTTGGTTGGCTGAGGCTGAGGAATGTTTTGTTTTTCAAGACAGGGTTTCTCTGTGTAGCCTTGGCTGTTCAGGAACTCAGAGATCTGCCTTCCTCTGTTTCCTCAGTGCTGTGCTTTCACCACCTAGCTCTTTGGGTTTTTTTTTTCTACTCTGTATTCATATTTATATATATATGGATGCATACGTGAGTACTCCTCAGTATGCATGAGTGTCGCAGAGAATGTATGGAGATCAGGGTCAGTTCTGTTTCTGTGGTTCTAAGGGATTGAACTGAGGTCTTCAGGCCTGACAACACTACTTCCTCCACTGAGCCATTTTTTTGCCCCAGTTTTAAAAATTACATTAATCAGTCAATCTGTCAGTCAGTCAATCAGTTAATTAGTGTGTGTGTGCCAAGTCTGTGTGACAGTCAGAGGAAATCTTACAGGAATCAGTTCTCACTTTTCATCATGCAGGTCCTGGGATCAGGCTGGCAGGAGTGCCTTTACCCGATAGGCCGTTTCCCTTGTCCACACCATTATTTAAAGGCTAATAATATTCCAGTGTGGGTATATAAACTCTTTTGTCCGTTCGTCTATTGATGGACATTTATGTCGTTTCTACCTTTGGCAGTGTATATAAGGCTGCTATGAATGTTGTGACCATACCTGCTCAAGTCTCTGCATTTTTGTGTTTGTCATGAAGCAGAACTAGTGGATGATACAGCACAGTGTGTGTGTTTAAGAGAAGTGAGCTGCTACTAGGCATGGTGGCACACAACTTTTATCCCAGCACTTGGGAGGCAGATACAAGAGGAAGAGGCAGGCAGAACTCTGTGAGTCTGAGGCCAGCCTGGTCCACATAGTGAGTTCCAAGACAGCCAGGCTACATAAAGAGACCTTGTCTCAAAAGACCAAATTAAAATAAAATAAATGAGTTCTTTGTATGTGGCCCAGGATGGGTCCAAGCTTTTGAGCCCTGATGATTCTTCTGGCCTTAGTGTCTAGACTACCTATGACTATAAAAATGTGCCTTTGTGCCAGATTGTACCCTTTTATTCTGACTAGCAAAAGTTTTGTGCATAGGGTTCTACTTTCTCTGTACCCCACTTCTCAGGTCCTCCTGTTTCTACCTCTCAATGCTGGGGTTACAGGCATGCACAGCCATGTCAGACTTTTTATGTTGGTGCTGGGGATTTGGACTCAGGTCCTCATGCTTGCAAGCCATGCGCTTACCACTCTGAGCCATCTCCCCAGCCCTAACCATTCTTTAAACTAATAAAACTGAAATTCATAAGCAAATAATTTTGATTCTAAGGTCTATTTTTGTCATCTGATTATTTTTACAAATTCGTGAATCATGCTGTTTCTAATTTACATGCATTTGGAGATTCTCTTTCTAACCATGATGGGATAACATGAGTTATATTTTTCTTTCTACCTGAAAACAACACAAACCAGGAATAAAACAAGAAAGAATTTCTTTCTTTTTGAAAGAATGTTTTCCAGACACTTTAAAGAAAAGCAGAAATACCGTGGAAGATACAATTTTTTCAAAAGAAGCCACGGCACAACCATTTCCACCCTCCTACCATACACAGACACACAAATCAGATAAATGAGGCAAAAACACTTTAAAAGAGAACAAACAAAAAACACCTTCATGTTCCATTTCTGTCGGCTGTGTTGGAGGTCTTGAGGCCACATAAACACACCAGCTCCTCAGTGTGGAATGGATAGATTGAAGGATGATGTGGGAACAGAGAGATTGAGAAGCTGTTGAGAAGCCAGAGTCTCAGAGGGCTAATAACCTGTGGCTTGCCAAGCTACCTTTTTCATGCACTGCAGAAAGAATCTTAAGGGACAAAAGCTTGTGCCAGTACCATCTATTCAAGGCAGTTTCCTTCCTCCAAGTCATTTCTGTTTGGACTAAAAGCAGGTTGGAGCAGGTTGGAGATACCTAGCGCGAGTGTGTTCTAGAAAGAATTGTTTGATGGCTAGTAAGATGGCTCATTTGGCAGGCCAGCAGGATGGCTCAGGGGTAAGGACTTCCATCTCTGATCCTCACATGGTGGAAAGAAGGGGACTCCTGCAAGTTGTCCTGTGACCGCCACAGGTGCATCATGGCACACTCGTGCAGACACTAAATAAATAAATGTGTGTAATAAAAAAATAAGGCGCAGTTGGTAAATCACTTGCCACACAAGCTTGAGGACTTAAGTTTGAACCCCAGAACCTATGTTAAAAAGCCAGGTGTGGTGGCACACACTTGTGAAACTGTCATTGGGCAGACTGGCCAGCCTTCCAAAATGGAGAGTTTCAGAGCCTGTTTCGAAAACAAGGTAGCTTGCATTCCTGAGAAAGCACATCCGGGTTGTCTCTAGACTGCAAGCATACACAAACAGTTAATTACTTCAGGTGGGCATGGTGTTGTATTCTACAATTGCCACACTTAAGATGGAGGTGGAGGATGGGCTACATAGGGAGTTTGAGGCCAGTGCGGAGTGACCCTGTCTGTGCTCTTTCCCCCACCCCCAAAGAACGGCTTGCTCTGCAATAGAGTACCCTAGGAAAGTACAAAACAAGATTCTCCTGACTACTTTCCTCCACTTTGACTCCAGTCCTCGAAGGTGCCAGAGTGGCTTAGGAGTCTGTACATGCCGAGCCTGAAAGTCTCGCCAAGGTCAGAACAAAGCCTATAGTTGGTGTTCTGCTCAAAACCATCACTGAAGTCTGTGTTTGTACTTCAGAGGTAGAATACAGTTGTATTTGATGATGTATAATTTATGGGCAGCCCTGAAGCCTGAAGGTCAGTTAGTTCTCCAAACTGGCCATCTTACAGTTGCAAAAGCAAACAAACAAAAACCAAAACAACCTTGCAGTATTTCCCTTTAATGAAAAAGGGGAATATTCTGGTGTGGAGGTTTCTGCGCAGTGTTAAATTTCTCAGTGCACTCTGGTTATCCATATCTTCCTAGTTTATTACTTAGGCTAGCTTGCTGAAAACGCCTAGATTAAGAGTCACAAGAGTCTAGAACCTTTTGAGGAAGGCAGCTTCGTCACTCCTTCTCTGTGTGGTCGTCTCTGTAATCTACACGCTTCTTTTTCCTTCTAGTACTGGGGATTGAACCAGGGGCCTCGCCTGTGCTAAGGAAGCTCTGTTACTGAGCTGTGTCTCCAGCCTTTGTGTATTTTTACTTTTGAGATATATCTCAGTAAGTTGCCTAGGCTGGCCTTAAACTTAGAATCTTGCCTCAGCCTTCTAAATGCTAGGGTTATGGCAGAGAGCCACCACTCCTGGCTTGGATGATTTCTTTTTTTTTTTTTTTTTTTCAACATAATTTCCTTAGGAATTCACATCATATACCCAATCATACTCACTTCCCAGTCCTTCCATGACTGTCTCCCCACTCTATTGTGACACCCCTAAAAAACCAACAAACTACAACAAACAAAAAAAACCCAAGCCCAATTTGTGTTATCCATGTACTCGCTGGAGCGTGGTTAAACTCTTAGCGGCCTGCCTCTTAATTAGAACTGGTCCTTTCCTTCCCACACCCTCAGCGGAAGCTGTCAGTTGTGGAGAGCCACACTGCAGCATCCTCATCACACTTTTTAAAGTCTCTTCGATGGCTTCCTATTCAGGTTGTTACTTTTTGGGGGCGGGAGGGTATGTCAGAAAAGGCTTCCATGCCCCTCTTTCTCAACTGTGCATCTGAATTATCAATATCACCGCCAAGGTAGCTCCTTATCACCGCCAAGGTAGCTCCTTACTCTTTACAGTCAGCAGGAGCAAGGATCATGGGCTTACACATAGTTTCTGGTGACAGCTCTGACCACAAACATGGCCCTCGGTTGCCGTAACCACAGACATCAAACCTGGTTTGCAGTGGCAGTACAGGCCATTCACATCAACACGGCCCCCAGTAGCAGCATAGTGGATGTCAACACTGACTGCAGATATCCGGCTTGGCCTTTGGTGTTGACATGGGCCACAGATGTCAGCACAGACCCAGGCCTTATTAGGACCACAGATCCAGACATGGTCCTTGGTGGCAGCCTGTACCCAGAAATCACCCTGGCCTCAGGTGGCAGTACAGGCTGCTCTAATCAGTATGCCTCCACTCCCTGGCAGCAGCACAACCCACAGACATCAGCATGGTTTCAGATGGCAGCACAAGCCAGGAACATCCACATGGCCTTCAGTGGTAATACAGGCCACGACATCAACACGGATCCCCGCTGCAGTGGGGCCTGGGACCCAGACATGGCCCTCAGCTGCAGCATGGACCTGCACATCACCACAACCTGAGGTAGCCATGCAGGCAGCTCAGCTCAGTATGGTCCCTGTGGCCAGACAGCTCACAGACATTGCCATGGCCTCAGACCACGGATATCTGGATAGTGTTAGGTGGGAACACGGGGCTACCTCAGATATCAACTTGGACCCTGGCTGCCTCAGGACCACTGACCCACACATCATGGACCACAGTGGTCCTTCAAGGAGGTCCAGTCCAGAAAGTGAATCATTCTGTCATTGCCCAGAGCGAGGGCAATCCTGAGGCCGGGCCGCATGGTCAGGGTTTGCTGAGAGCTGAGTCCTTCTGTGCAGGCCCCAGGCTGCTGCAGACCACCCTGCAGTCCCACCGGGCCCTCAGCCCTCTCACACCGGTCACTACCCTGCTGCCTCCAGTTCCACCTCTCCCCACAGCCTCTCTGTCACACACTTTTTTCTTTGAAGTGTAGCTGATTGGCCTGGGCAGCATGAGTATGGATGTGAGCTTCCGATTGGCCAAGGAGGCTTCACTTTTCTTTTTGAGTGGAGGATTCTTATAAATATTTTAGTAAAAATGGGTTTAGAAACTTAAGATCATATCAATGGCTGCTTTATGTTAATTCAAATAATTTCTCTAAATTTTTGAAAAATAACTCTTTAAAATGAGCAAAGATGTGATCAACAGTTTATAATGTTCAACAAACACATGAAAAGATCTTTTTTAAAATTTTTTTAAATATTAGTTGCAGTTTATTAACTTTGTATCTCAGCTATATCCCGCTCCCTCATTCCCTCCCAACCCCACCCTCCCGTCCTCATCATCTTTCTGAGTCCACTGATAAGGGAGGACCTCCTCCCCTTTCATCTGACCCTGATTTATCAGTTATGTTCAGGACTGGCTGCAAAGTCCTCTTCTGTGGCCTAGCAGGGCTGCTCCTCCCTGGGGAGGGGGGGCGCTGGTCAAAGAGCCAGCCATTGAGTTCATGTCAGAAATAGTCCCTGCCCTGTTCCCCTTACTAGGGCACCCACTTGGATACTGAGCTACCATGGGCCATGAAAAGATCTTTAACTCAACTCCACCAATAATTAATGAAATGTGAGTTTTAAAATTACAAAAATGTGGGCTGGAGAGATAGCTTAGAGATTAAGAGCACTGGCTGTTCTTCCAGAGGTCCTGAGTTCAATTCCCAGGAACCACATGGTGGCTCATAACCATCTATGCTGGAATCTAATGCCCTCTTCTGGCATGCAGGTGTACATGCAGGCAGAATATTGTATACAAAATGTGACTGTGGTTGGAGCTCAGTCTGTAGAGTCCTTGCCTAGTGTGTATGAGTCTCTGAGTTCGAGCCACAGAGCCACACTAGCCTGTGTGGTGTACCTGGGAAGCCCAGCACTCTGGAGATTGAGGCAAGGAGATCAGAATTTGAAGTCATCTTTGACTATAGAGGGGCTAGCCTAGGCTATATGAGATGCTGTCACAGACAAACAAGCAGCAACAAAGAAACAGGAAGCTGCAAAATTATTAAAGTTAATCTTTTATCAAAATATGTGAAGACATTTTTTTCAGACTCCAAAGCATGTTAATAAACTTAGGAGAGGGCTGGGTGTGGTGGCACGTGGCTTTAACCCAAGTACTCAGGAGGCAGCAGCAGGTGGGTGGCTCCTCCGTTCAAAGCCACCTAGCTATGTTAGGACAGCTGGGGCTATGTAGGGAAACCCTGTCTTAAAGCAACAACAACAACAACAAAAACCTAAGAGAAGAGCAGTGAGGTTGCTTTCTCTCTCTCTTCTTGGGCACATTTAACTTTCTTGTCTTTTCCTCATCAGCTCCTTTTCTCTTCCTGAACAGAAAGCTGATTCCATTCTCTCGGAACTCCTTTGATATGATCATTTCTATGTTACTTGAGACAGTGAACATTTTCCTGGCTCTTGAGCTGGCCCACACTGGACACTAGGTTCTGTTATGAACTTGGCTCTTGCATAGAATGCCCCAAAACTGTCTGGAAACCCAAACATAAATTTTGAGAAATTCAAACTTTTTAGTAACTTTTAAAGAAAAGATCTGTTGTGCTACTTAAATTGGGATCTGAATTGGTGCATCCTAAACTAGCTAGGCTATAACTGAATCAGAACATCAAATTCTTTTCCAAAGTCCAGTGGTGTTCCATCAAATTCTATGCCAAGGTATATCAGTATTTCATTGTTTAGTCTCAAGTTCCCTGAGTTTCTGTCTCCTGTTGCAGCCTTTTCATTTTTAAACAAGGCAAGTCACTTGTGACCTGCCTAAAGGCACGGCCACAACATCTTTCTGCTCTGACATAATTCCCAGTGTATATTTCGCTGGTATATCTTAGATCGTATTCCTGTCTTTAGAAAGTTCTTTTTGGCCAGGTGCAGTGGCACATGCCTACTGTAATCTCAGCTCTCAGGGACTCAGAGGCAGGTGGATCTCTGCGAGTTCAAGGTCAGCTTGGTCTACAAAGTGAGTCCAGGACAGGCAAGACTACACAGAGAAACCCTGTTTTGAAAAGAAGAAAAAAGTTTGCTTACTCAGGGTTAATTTTTTAAAGATTTATTATTCGGAAGCGCGCACGTGCATGCGTGCGTGCGTGCGTGCGTGCGTGCGTGCGTGCGTGCGTGCGTGCGTGTGTGTAGGTACCTGTAGATAACAAAAAAAGGGTATTTGATCCCCCTGGAGTTCTAAGTGGTTCATTTTAAGCCACTCAGGATGGGTGTTGAGAACCAAACTCAGGTTGTCTGAAGAGCAGTATGTACTCCAAACCAAATGGCTATTTCTGCAACTCCCATAGTCATTTCCTACCTGGCATTATGCCAGCCTAGAGTTCATATTTTGGCATAACAGTTTTCACGGCCCTGTCTTCTGTTTATTGGGAGAGGTCTCCCTCTAAAGGAGGGGCGTGCCTTGTTTCTTACTGCTTCTTCTTCCGTAAGAAGCCCTTCTTCTCAGCACAGAGACTGAGCGTGGGTAGGTGTCTGCCTAGACTGTGTGTGGCCCTGGATTTGATCTCCAGGACCACAGACACTAAAATAAATGCTTCTCCCTCAGCTCCACAGCTTGTGCCTCATATTAAACATGTTCAATTTTAAAAGAATTTTGGTCCTAGGAAATTTGGTGTAGTGTTTCTAGGTACTTCTTGGCATGCTTTAGTTTTAGTTTGTTTGTTTTTGTTTGTTTTGTTTGTGTTTTTGTTTTTGTTTTTTTCAATAATAATCCACCATAGCTTTTAAATGTTTGAAATTTTCGTTGCTTTAGCTTGGTGAGGGGAAATGTTTAAAAATCACAACTTTCTTAACATCATTGCAGGTTTTTTGTTTTAAACAATGAAGCTGGGCTGTTGGAGTACTTTGTGAATGAACAGTCTAGAAATCAGAAACCCAGAGGTACTTTGCAGCTTGCGGGTGCTGTGATCTCGCCCAGCGATGAGGACTCACACACCTTCACAGTGAATGCTGCCAGCGGGGAGCAGTATAAACTCCGAGGTAGGGCTGAGACCTAGTCCCGGGGTCCCCTCTGCTGCAGCTGCTGCTCTCCAGCTGCTCTCAGGCCTGGGCACAGCAAGTGCTGTCACTGCTGACCCCACACGGTGTTTTCAAGTTGGCCGGGGAATGAGTCTGGTTAGTGTATAAAAACAATTTATTTTGTAGATGAAACCCTGATTACCAATAACTGTAAAACCCAGGCATTTACATAATACTGTTTTATGTCTGCCACAGGGAATTTTTCTTTTTTGCCCATTGTCCTCTTGACATCTTTTAGTGATTAATAATTAATTAAGATAAAGTATAAGTTACCGTGTTTGGTTTGGGTTTTGGATTTTCTTTTTTTTTTTTTTTTTTAATACAATCATAAGTATTCAGTATGTTATGACCAGAGACTTGCACAGACTTGTCTAGACAGGGTCAAGCTGTGTAGCCCAGGCAGGCTGCAAAAGCTTGGCCTTTCTTTACCTCTGAGGGCTGTAATTTTAGGCTTGTGCTGCCATGCCCGGCTTATAACCTCTGTCTAGATAAATTTAATTTCTGAAGAAATATGTGGGTTTTACTTAATAAGTAAGCAGATAGTGGCTATCCTATACTTGACCGTTCTGTTAAGGTCTGAAAGGACTGCTGATGCTTCCGATTCTTAGTCAAGGTTGCTTATTTAAATAACGACACATCAGCCAGCAGTGGTATCCTATGCCTTTAGTCCCAGCACTCAGAAGGCAGAGGCAGGTGGAGCTCTTGAGTTTGAGGCCACCCTGGTCTACAGAGTGAGTTACAGGATAGCCAGGGCTACACAGAGATACTCTATCTTGAAAAGCCCAAATAAATAAACAGACAGACAAACAAACAAATAAGGACATACCGACATGAAGAACTTAAGACCTGTTGCCTCTTGTCTTTCCCTGGGCTCACGTGATTTGTTCTCCTTAGGTGATTCCACTCCTAAAGGGCAGCACTTCAGTCTTCCCTGTCAGTGTTATTCTCTGTAAGGAAAGTAGAACTAGCCTCTGCTTTTTGCTCATCCATCCTTTATGCTGTGGGCATTTAATTGTGTTCCCCAAACTACTGTGACAATCAATGACGTGTATGTTCTTTTTATCAGCCACAGATGCTAAAGAGCGGCAGCACTGGGTTAGCAGGCTCCAGATATGTACCCAGCACCACACGGAAGCCATTGGAAAGGTATGTGGGCTTACACACAGCAGTGCACAAAATGAGGGAAATGTGTGCTTTGTACTCTTAAATTTGGATAGTTGGGTCAGTGAGCGGGGTGATCGCCACCAAGTGTAATGACGTTAGTCTGATCCCTGGAAACCACATGGTTGAAAGAGAACTGTCTTGAGAATTGTCCTCTCATTTTTACATCTATGCTCTGATAATGTTCACGCACATATACATACAAAATGAATGAATGTTTAAATAATACATTTGAGAAACCATTTATACATTATAAAGTTGTGTTGTGCCCGAATCGTGATACCCCAAAAGACCACCACCAGGAGCCAAAGTCCGTTGCAAACCACATGAGGATCTTTTTATTACAAATTACAAGCTGCAGCTCAGGCTCACACCCCCCACCACCGAAGTGGTGAGAACCAAGAGCCCCTTGCTCAGGTTAGTTGGGGGATTTAAAGATTCTGGTCCCTCCCAGCATGCCCAAGGCAGGGGCGATTCCTGCCTGGCAAGCATCTATTGGTCAAAATGCTACATTTTGAAATGATTGGCTATAGGAAGGTCCCCAAACCGTTAATGATCTGGTGTCCCTCCTTAGGGGGATGGGCCAGTTTCCTAGCAACTGTATCTCTAGTGAGTGGAGAAAGAATGCAGTATGGCAGGTTCTTCCCCTCAGGGCATTCCTGGACTTCTCCACCCTAGTTCAGGCCTTAAACTTTAACAACGGCTGATTTTTTTTTTGGTCTCTCAGTTGCTCTTTGAAGCATATAATTTCGTGGTGTTTGTGCAGTTAGAAGATTGTGCAACCTCAGCAGTCATGTAACTACAGAACTTTTCTATCAACCCCAGGCAGCTCCACACAGTTAACAGCCACTTCTGTTCTCTCCTTCTCGAACCCGGGGTGAGCCTTAATGTGTGGTTTTCATGGACTTTTGAACATGGTTGATTGTGTCAGCTTTCCCCTTCAAGGGCCATCTGCACTTACATGTGGCAAGCATCTCCCCCAAACCCCTCTCTCCCTCCACTTTCCAAGTGCTGGGGTTGTGGGTGTGTACCCCGATAGCTTACCTGTTCTCTTTTTTCTTATATACTTCTTTGAATTTTTTTTTTTGAGACAGGGTCTCACTCTAATTCATACTGGCCTAGAACTTGTTGTATAGCCCAGAGTTGGCCTTAAACCTTGGCAATTCTACTCTTGGCAATCCTCCTGCCTCAATGTTTCTTTCTCTCTTTTTTGTTTGTTTTTTGAGACATGTTCTCTTGTATCTCATGCTGCCCTTACAGTGTAGCTGAAAGTGACCCAAACTTCAACTTTTCCTGCCTCTCTTCCAAGTACTAGGGATATAAGCATGTTCGTTCTACTTCATTGGATTTATTTGATGCTGGGGGTCAAATGCAGAGCTCCACACGTGTTAGGCAAGCATTCTGCCGGTTAAGCCACATCCCCAGAATTTTTACTGTCTTAGCCTCTCTCTCTCTCTGTGTGTGTGTGTGTGTGTTCGTGTGGTGTCTCTACATATCTATCTTCCTCAGTCTCTCTCTTCTTTTGTATCTTGGAAAAGTTTGCTGATTTTGGTAGGCTAGCTAGATAGTAAGCTCCAGAGATCCACCTGTCTTCTCTTCCCTAACATTGAAGTTGCAGAATGTTCCGCTGAGCCTACCTGTTTTATGTAGGTGCAGGGGATCTAAATTCCAGTCCTCATACTCAGCAAATGCTTAACTGACAGCCATTTTCCTACCCTTTTACCTCAGCCTTCTAAGGGATAGGATTGCAGATGTGAGCCCCCATACCTGGCTCAGTCTTTTCATTTTATAGATGCTATGAATGATGTGAACTGTCAACATTTGGGCTTAAGTTTTTGGATGAACATACTATTTTAGTGTGTGTGCACGCGTGCAGGTGGAGGCCCAAGTTCAAGTATCTTCTTCAATCACTCTCCACCTCTTTTTTTTTTTTTTTGGAAACAGGTTTCTCAGTGAACCTGGAGCTCACTGCTTTGACTAAACTAACGAGTGAGACACGGGGATCCAACTGCACCCCCCTCCCAGCTCTGGGATTACAGACTCACACCACCAGGCCTGCCTATTTAACACAGGCGCTGGGCATCACATTCAGGTCTCATGTTTTCGTGGCAAACACTCTACCAGCTGAGCCATTTTGCCAGCCCCTCCTTTAATTTCTTGGAAGTGTGTGTGTGTGTGTGTGTGTGT